CCCCTAGCCAGTCAGAACACAGAGGTTATTTGCATATGCAGCCTCATTGGCCTTTGCCTCGGAACACAGAGGTCGTTTGCATATGCGACTTGATTGGCTTTTGCCTCTAACATTGTAAACAGTTTTGCTGTTCTGAGGTAAAATGTGTCCAATCTCCAGGTGAGGGCTGGAGATCACTCAGAATTACAACTGCTTTCCAGATGGCAGAGATCAGTTCCCCTGGAGAAAATGGTGGGCTCTGTATCCTTATATGCTGCTGAGGTGGCCCCCGTATGACAGCCAATGTGACGTTAGCAGTCAGGGCTTAAGAGCACGGGAGAGGCTGCAGGTGTGTGGGGGGTGGAAAGCTGAAGAGTGAGGAGAAAATAAAGGTAGGTTGATGATTGGCTGGGAAGAAGATAGGGTTGCCAACTCCAGGTGGGAAATTCCTGGAGAGGTGAGGGATGGAGCCTGGAGAGGGTGAAGTTTCAGGAGGCGTGGGACCTCGGACAGGTACAAAGCCATAGACTCCACCCTCCAAACCAACTACTCCCTTCTGGGGAACTATTGTTGCCAATCTCCAGGTGAGGGCTGGAGATCACTCAAAATTACAACTGCTCTTTAGGTAGCAGAGATCAGTTCCTCTGGAGAAAATGGTGGACTCAGTGTCATTATACCCTGCTGAGGACGCCACAACAAATTGACACTGAGTTTCCAAGGCTGGGGCACCCGCCCAGAGCCTCTTTCTAGAGGCCGTTGTATTTATTTCCACAACAGGCCTTTTTCCTAGTTTGTAATAATTGCAAAGGATGGTAAATGTCAAACAACTCATTATTGAGAGCCTGGACTTAAAATTCATTTGGCATGAATACCAGTGAGATTATACTTGAGGTTATAACAGTGAAGTTATACTGCACACTTATCAACCACCAGTTCTTGATGAGAAAACCGTACTGCTTAATACAGATGTTGTATCTGGAATGTGAGGTCCATTTTCAGTTCTAGTTTTTATTACTAGTATGATGCCAAACAATTTGCTGTGGTTTCTTGCTTAGTTATCTTTGACTAAATTTATATTTGTACAACTTGAAATCAGGCATGTCAAGAATGTTGTATCAAATTTGATCAATATTTAAACTTATTGGGCTCAAACTGTTTACATGCACGTAGAGCCCCTCAGATTACTTTGATTTTTTTCTTCTAAATTTGAATGAAATATTACGTGAAGCAGCTTTGTGACTGTGCGGCAGCCACTCCTACCAGCTTTCCTGCATAAATTGTTTCATATGCTTCAGGATAATTAACTAGGGTTGCCACCCTCCACTGGGCGATATCCCAGAAATACAGCTGACAGGGATCATTTTCCCTGAATAAAATGGCTGCTTTGGAGGGTGGACTATATGGTATTCTACACCACTGAACTCCTTCCCCTTCCCAAATCTCAGCCTCTCCAAGCTCCACACCTCCAAATTTTTCCAAACTCAGATATGGCAACCTCAATAATTAACATACAAATGCAGCCAATCAGAGCAGCTTTTTGTCACAAAGCGGGAGAAGAGTTACACAGCTGCATGGGGCGTGATAGGCCTCTTGAAAAATAACTACTGCTCCCATGAGGCAGTGAGAGAATGCAAATGTACAAAAAAAAAATCCTGATCTGATCCTTTTCTGTTAAAACATATCAGGCCATGATGGGCCAAGAAAGAAGCCATGCAGCCCTGTGATACCTCTTTAGTTAGTGAAACAAATCTTTAACAGAAAGAATTTCACAGATACAGGAAGGAGGGAACTCCAGTTTCCGTGAGTCTGTGCAAGAATGTGCATGTGCAAATTCATCCATATTTAGGCAGCTTGCTTGCCTTTGGCTTTAATTGATATTCAGTCAGGCAGCCATAAGGGACACTAAGACTCCTTACAAGTTATAATGAAACTTACAATGAAACTATATATAATGAACTAATTATAATGAAACTTACAATGAAACTATAATGAAACTCCTTACAAGTTATAATGAAAGCACTTGGAATGTTCTCTTTTTGCTTTAAGAATGTGGCAGACTTCTGGCAGGTTGGGGAGGGAGGGAGCATCACCAATGAGAGAAAAGCTACAGGAAGTAATATGTAGGGTTGCCATCTTCCAGGTGGGGCCTGGAGTTCTGGAAATACAGGTACAATTGCTCTCCAGACTATAGATCAGTTCCCTTAAAAGAAATGGCAGATTTGGAGGGCAGATTCTGTGAAATCATATCCCTGTTCAGCTCACCCCTGCCCCAAGTGCTGCCCTCCCCAGGTTTCTCCCCCAAATCTCCATGAATTCTCCAAGCTGGAGTAAGCAGCCCTATGATATTTTTCATGTACAATCATCTCTTTAGCATAATTGAACACATTCAAACTGTTGAACCCTGGCAAACAGCTTAGGAACATTCTAAGGTGCTGATTGCAACTAGCAGGTGATTGAGCATCCTCTATTGAAAGCTCAATATGAATGTGTTGTTGAATGCCTTTTCAAGGGTTGCAAAAGATGTGTGAGAATGCACTTAGTTACTAAACAAAAGCTATCATTCACTGTCAAATGGAAAATCTGTTTAATGTTTCCTTTTTTGTACCCCAGTACAGTAACATATTAGAACTAAAACAGCCTTTTAATAAGGCAAGAGTACCTTAGCTCTCAGTGTCATTGAATTAAATTGGCCCCTATTGATTAATTTTAGATCTTTACTAACTGGTAGTCTAATGCTGTGCTTTGCTGTGCAGTGACAGAGGATCTCGTGCAAAGCCCCTGCATCTGTTCAATGGAATAAATTTTATCAACTTGCTTGATGGAATAAATTTATCAATGACTCACCCCTGACCGATGGAGAAGCCCCTGAAAACACAGCTTTGCTGATTGAAGGGCTTGCTATGGAGAATTCAGTGCAGTAGAGTGGGAGACAAGAACACAGCTGTACTGTGTCCCTCCAGTAGTAAGATAAGCTCTGCTCCTCTGTTACCACCATGTAGTGTTGCATTACCAAGACAGGCCTTCAGTGATGGGTGAGAGTTTATGCCCTTACATACACAAATGGAGACAAAGCTGGACTACTGTGACCTGCCAATCCATGGCTGCAGTGCTGCTCTTTAGCTCTTCCTACAGAAGCTTCTGCTTAAGTCATGGTGGCAAACATGTCAGCTTTAGAAAGTGCTGCCAGCCACTGAATTTACATCTCTCAGGGTGCCAGTGTTGCTTAATGCCCCTTTCTTTTGTTTAAGTAGAAGTTTGGGATAGGTGGGATGTCCTTTCAATAAAATGCTGAACATTTTTAAAGCTACACGCTTTAATTTGTGTATTAATCCATTCAAACACTAGCTGTATTCATTTCAGTTAATATATGTCTCAAGCAGAGGTCATTTCGGGGGGATCGCAGTTCCCCCGGGTGAGGTATGGGGGCGGGGCACATGACGAAGCCCCGCCCCCTGCTTCTGGCCGCCCCGCTTCCGGCCCTCATTCAGCCAGGAGGAGGCAGGAGAAGAAGGAGGGTAAGTTGCTTCCTCCCTGCCTCTCCCCACCCCTGCCTGCCTGGGGCCAGGGAGGGCCTTTGTGGGGCTTCCTTGCACTCCCACCGGCCTTGTAGGTCCACCGCCGGGCCCCTCATGGCAGTCGGGACCATTGGGGGCGGGGTGTGTGGCCTTATGACACACTTCTGGTGATGTCAGGGGGTGTGGCATATGCTAATGAGTTATGCTAATGAGTTCCCCTAGCTCTTTTTCTACGAAACGACCCCTGGTCTCAAGTATAGGTTTTTAGGGAGATGTAGGACAGCACAGAGCATTTGCTTTGGAAAACAGTAAGGTGCTTATCACCACTACGCTCCATTTTCATGTCTTTTCAGTATAAGCTATTTTATTATCTTGTGAGATTAACTGTTGGATAGAAAATAAAAGGAATATGGGGAGGATGCTTACATTTTTATCCCTTGTGATTTCTCTTCAGTTGTATTGTACAGTTGGCAGCATGTTACTTTTTAGTTGTGCATTTTTTTTTGCTTTTTTGTTTTTAGTTTTAACTGATTTTAATTCCATTTATCCTTCCAGTTAGACGTAGCCGGGAAAAAGTTGTTCTGTTACAATTTTGATGGAAGTGTCCCAGAAAGGGACACTTCCATCCTGGTTACAAAGCTCTTTCATTTCCTTTCACTCATTTTGTGATAAGTGTTTATCAACTTCAATTCTCAACACAAATGTTTCCCACCAAGAGAGTTCCCAGAGAAATACAGCAGCCACATAACCATGTGTTTTACAAAATGTTTGTTACTGACTTTTTGCCACAGGAGATGCCTTCCTGTGCACAGGAGATGCCACAGGACATCTTCCTGATGAAAGGCAGACTATAAACATTTTACTAAAATAAATTAAACAGATATCCTAGGTGGTAAATGAGTAAGAACCTCAGCTTACAAGCCAATAAGTTCATCAAAATATTTGAGCTTTAGTGCATACGCACTATGTGATATTGCCTTTTAGCAGCATGTTTGATTTTAGAAATATTCAGCAGATTGTCATATTGTCCGGGAAAGAGAAATACAGTCATTACTTTGATGTCATCACTGCACCACCATCTTTAGGGTTGGTTCATGCAGTGATCTAACATGCAGGCTCTAGACAAAGAAATAATATAGGGACATGTCTTAAGGTTAGCTGTACATTTCCATAGTGCATAAAATGTGCTTGTGATCCAATGTTTGTGGTGCCTACATTTATAAATGAGTTTGTTCATTTACGTGACTCATAAATCACATGAACGTAGCATTCTTACATGTGGTTGGTGTACATAGGCAAATGATCCACTACATATTCTTCACACAGTGTGGTGGGATCCACTACATATTCTTCACACAATGTGGTGGGAGGTAGCCTGACACTCACTGGCCTGGTTGACCACATGTGTCCTCTACTCAACTAGAGCTTATATGAAACAGCCTTTAGTTGCCATGCTAATGAATTCTCACTGTATGGTCATTTCCCCCCTCTCCTTTATCGTTACAGGTTGATAAAGTATGTGGACATCCTGAAGAAAGAGAAATGAAACCTCAACCAGACAATATAGTACAAGCAAAAGAAATATCTGAAACACAGACTCTCACAATGGCACACTCCACTATTCTAACTAATAAAAGGAGGTAACCATCATGTAGACATATTTTTGTTCTAATTTTGATTTAGAAGGTCTATACAGGGACTCAAAGGGACATGCAGTTTACATGTATAAAGGTGTGTGGGATCACACCCACAGGTTCTGCTATAGATGTTCTTGTTCAGTTAGACAACAGCTGAAAGCCTAACTGAAAGGCTTTTCTATCTGATTGGAAGAAGCCAGACCCAAATAGTATGGAAGATCCTACACACATTAATTTGTATGTGTGTAAAGAATCTCTTCAGACATTGGGCTAAATATGCAGATGTTGTAGGGGAGACAGAAGGTGTGATCCTGTTCCTCACTACACATGTATACTGCATAGTGTGCACAGCCTATACACATGCCCTTTGGACATTTGCATAAGTCTATAGTTGTTATACCAACATTGTATTGTCCAGTAGTGCTGCTACCAGAAGCTAACTTGAGCTTCTTAATTTTCACTGAGGTGTATAAATTCAAAAAATCTGTTCAGAGTTGTAGATTCAGGGCTTGTTTTCTGGGGGAAAGTGCTGGATCATAGTCCTTGAACCTTTTCGAAAAAATTTAGGAGTTTTCAGTATACAGATTGAAAACTTCATTTCCCTCTGGAGAGTTCCAGCACCTCTAAAAAAGAAAAAGAAAGCACTGCTTATTAATTGAAACTCTTACAGTCTAGTTTAATTCAAGAGACAGGTCTTTATCTACATTGCACCAATACGAGAATGAAATAAAAGTTATATTGTGTGAGCAATGAGAATTTACTCATGGAGTATTTCACACTCCAGGCATCTCATTTAAACATGATGATTTCACCTGAACACAGGATCTGTAGCCCTGGTAGGTACTTGTATTGGCATGCCAAAATTCCATACCTGAGGTTCTAGTTGAAATGAGATGCCAGATGGACCCAAGTTTAGTCTGTAGAATAGTTCACTTCAGATACTTTGGAGTCTGCTTATGTATTCTGAAATTCCAGAAAAAAAATTAGTCCATAAAAGAACCCATAAATATCCATATGGTGTCTCATAACAGAGAAACCTAATCCATAACATACAAGCTTGGAACTTCTGGAGTGTTTCTGCATACAAAAGGATTTTCACACAAGGAATCTCCCCCTTCTGTTGCAGTTCAAAATGATGTCTTTGGGCACAGGAAACCCCATTTGCAGCATCATGCAAGTATTTTGGGCTCCGCCTGAAGCAGGAAGGCAAGCAAATCATGCTCCAGGAGCAGAGACCCTTTCATGCAGAAACTCTGTGGTTGATCCAGGTCTCTGGATGTTCCACCTCTGAGTTCTCCTTAAATTGTTTAGTCCTTAAGTTTATTGTCCTTAAGTTGTTTAGTGACAACAGTGTAGCACATTCATTCTAGGTTTCTTTTTCATTCATTCATTCAGACTCATCTAAAATGGTACCAATTTCAGATGGAAATGCAGATTCTAATCCATTTATAGGGTTGCCAGCCTCCAGGTAGGGCTTGGAGATGTTTGAGAAATTGCAATTGATCTCCAGACTGCAGAGATCATTCCCCTGTAGAAAATGACAGCCTTGGATGGCTTACTCTGCATACCCTGTGGAAGTCTGTCCACTTCCCACACTCCACCCTACCCAGGCTTCATCCTCAAGTATCCAGTATTTTCCCAACATGGAGCTGGTAGTCCAAAATCCAGTATGCTTGGATGCACTTACATAAGTATGGTTAAATATCTGAACAAGCAGTGTGTTCTTTAATGCAAAGTCCTGTGATGTGCAAAGGACTATTCATAAATCATTTGCAGAATTAGGGTCTAAATCATAAAGTGATCCATCTCTCAGCAGTTCAGGTTAAAGCTGAAGTTTGTCAAGAGCTGAGATATCACAAATGGATGAACGAGGACTATAACGCAATGGCATAAAAGATTCGGAGCCTTACTTTTCCAAGGTTTGTTGTAATACATTCCGGAT